AACAAGCTTGTCGAGTTGTATTTGAGTTGTTTTGTTTATCGAGTTGTTGTTATGTTGCTTATCAAGTTGTATATTGCATTTTGTATTTTGGTTGTTGGTTGGTTCGTTACCCGATTAAGCGTCTGGTTTTAATCAAACACTCTTGGCCATTTCAATTCCCTATCCATTTCATGCATATATGGTGCACATGATGCAAAAAATGACAACACTTTTTTTCATAAAACTGACGATTTTATTTCGATCATGGCTTTTTACAAAAGAGAAGTACAAGTTTTAAAGCAAAACAGAACTTCCTAAAGCTATACATATGCTATAGCTACCAACAAAAAGAAACTAAGCAAAGTACAAATAAATCAGCGCCAGTCATCTCAGGCTCGAGAGGCCGTCTTCGTTCTCTTCCTGGGGAGAGACTCAAAGCTATCTCCATCAGCGCCACTATTTGAAGCAAACCCTGAACCGGAGCCAAAACCAGAATCATCGTCGCTCTCTGCTCTAGAGCCAGACTCAACATCACCTCCACTCTCAGATCTCGAGTCACCATCATCTCCACCCTCGGAGGACTCAGATTGTGGAATCATTACCTCCCCGGAGTCACTAGTCTCAGTATCATCGTCACTCAACACTGGCTCCGAAGGGCTCCTCCGGCCTCGGCCATGACGCTCCTCTCGGCTGTGTGCTGGGGCCTGCCTGTCTCTCCTCTCTGCTGTTGGGGGAGGTGGTGATGGTGCAGGTGCAATCGCCGCTATTCGTGCTCTCGATACGGCTGGAACCTGAAAAGATACATTACTGACATATCAAATGTAATGTATAGTTGTAGATGTGGTATGATGAAAATGGTGGAATGTAATGAGCCAGATACAGTGCAAATATAGTACGGTGTGTCAGTGCAGCATATCAGTATGATGTGACAAGGGACATAATGTATACCGTGGTATGAGTATCAGTGCTTCAATAAGAATGATGTGTACAACAGTGTGGAAAATATTGAAATGCAGGCAGAGAATAGGGAAAATTACCTAAATACCATAGAGACTGAGCAGCGCCTCTCTTCTCTGCACCATGCCTATCAGGGAGGCTATCAGCTCAAGAGCCCTCCCCATGTACTCTGTAGAGGCCAGCAAATGTAATCGAGTGACCGATATCTACAATGAACATATCTAAAATGAAATGTGGGATGCAAACGTAAAGAATGGTCCATACCTGAGTCGGGCCTTGAACCCCAACTAGTGCATGCCCAGCCGTTGTGGGCTCAATCAGGACCTGGTAAGGATCCCCAGTATGCCGCTAGCATGTCAACTCGATCAGAAGCTCTGGCCAACCGATGATCTGCCCAGCGGGAAGGGTCCCTCCAGTCTTGGCCCTCATCGCCTGAGTCCTACCTGCTGTAGGGGCACCTGCTGTTCTACCTGCATGAGCACGAGCACCCGTCAAGGGAGGCATGAGGTGTGTCTGAATGAATATTGAATAATCCCCCTCCGTACGGAAGTAGTCGACATCCAAGCCCTCTGTGAACTGGATCATCTCCTGGAATGAGAGGCTCTCCATGGTCCTCATAGATGCTGGGGCTGGCATGGGAACTACCGGCTCAAGCAAACCCATGGTCTGGCGTAGGAATAGCTCGCCTAGGAACCAGGCAAACTGGGCCCTCTAACAGAAGTCAAAAATGGGAGGCCCCCCAGGCACCAGCATACTAGTCCCTAACTCCAACTGGCATCATCACCTAAGGCTGCCAAGCGATCTACAAACAGGGGATATACAGATTGTTAGTTATCGTCAATTGTTGATAAAGAAAAAATAACTGTGAGTTTGGGTTACCTCCTCCACAACTATTGTGTCAAAGTACTGGCAGAAGAATGAGAAGGTCTCCCGGGTCCTCCGCAGGCATCTGCCGTTATACCGATGAGAGTATGGCACAATAGAGGGTATCTCCACCTCCAGCTCCGGAGCAAGGGTTGGGAAATATGCATATTCCCAAAGCTACAAGGAAAAGGCAACAACGAGTATACAGTGTATAGATACAGAGAATGCAATATGCAGAAAACAGAATGTGCAGTACAGTGTACAGAGAGTACAGATGCAGAGAATGCAGGATGTGCGATGCAGAAAGCGCAGAGTATAGATGTAAACAATGCAGTATGCAGTCTATAGAAAGTGCAAAGCAGAAAGCAAATAAATGAAAGATAGAAAATGTAACGCAGAAATGTAAAGCATACCTCCCAGGCTCGCCAATAAGCTTCGACCCTATCTCCCCTCCTGCGGGATGTCGAGCTCATATAGCCATACAGTGTGGCGAGGCCAGCTCTTCCCCAGTCATAGAGCCGGACCTGAGGTAAGTCCACTAAAGCGCTCAGTAGATACAGCTCTACAGTGTTCCACCTATTCCCAAACAAGGTGGTACTGAAGAAGAACATCAAAAAAACCCCGGGTGTAGTGCTCAGTCTCTTTTGGGGTCTCTATCTCTCTTCTTTGGGGTCTCGGCCTCCCACTCGCCGATGTCCATATTGTAAGGGATCAGAATACCCCCTACCTCTACGCCCGTGAGCATGGCGAAGTCATAGGGAGTCATCGTTATCTCCCCAGTGGTGGAGAAGTTGAAGGAGTTGGTGGTATCCCACTACTGGTCCACTAATACACCAAGAAGCGATCGACTCGCGATATGGCGCAATAGTCCAGTACAGAATAGCCCGAAACCCATCTCGTCAATGATGTGGTGTACGCCAGCAGGGAGCTCCATATACCAGTCTCTCGCTGACGTGGCTCCATAGCCCCTGATAGAGCGAGAGTCCTCCTGTGGTCAGAACAATGATATACAGTGATATGAGAACATGCAAATGAAAGGCAGAGTAAGAAATACAGTGCAAGAGTGTGATTAAGGCAAGAAATGCGGTAAGAGGCAAGAAATGTAGTGTAACTATGTAGTTGAAGCAAGGGATACAGTTAAAGTAAGAAATGCAATGTAAAGGGAAAAAGCATGAGAATATAGTGTATACCTTGGTGACACCGTGGGACAAATGGGAGTCTGGCTCCCGTAGCAAGAGATCCTCTAGCGCACGTCGTGCGAACTCTTTAAAGTTCCTGATACCCTCGGGTGGTAGCACATGTGTCTGAGGATGGTATGTCGCCGGATCAAAGGGGCGTACTCCCGACGGTAATATCTCGGGCTCAGGCTCGGCCTCCAGCCCTGCCGAAGGTGGAATCTCGAACGGAGCTTCGTCATGGGGTAAATCATCCGCCATCTAGAAAAAAGATGTGAAGGTGGTGAAAAATAATTTGTTTTTGTCAAATTATGCTTTCGTACGTGTATTTCTCTATTGTTGCAAAAATATGCACTTCTCTATTGTTGCATAGAATATACATTTCACCTTGTTGCATGAATATACATTTGGTTTCCTTGCATAAGATAAGCATTTCGCAGGTATTGTATGCATATCCTGCATCCATTATGACACGAGCATAATATATGCTTCCGCTCTTGTATCATGCCTAGAATATGCTTCTGTTTTTTGGTTTCTCGCATGGAACATGCCTTTGTATCTTGATTGTTTGTCATGCATAGAACATGTATTCTTACTGTATCGTACATGTTCAGTTTTTATTTTCTTACACAGGCACATGATATTGCATGTGCGGTTCATTTAGAGGAGTTCCAGATAAAATAATTCGTGCCATATTCGGGTCACATCCTTTTTCCAATCGGTTAAAAACATTCGGGTGTGCCCGGTGTTCACACCACCCTTCCTCCCCTCGCGTGCAATGCGTTAGGATTGCAAATCGGTTAAAAACATTCAGGTGCGCCCGGTGTTCACACCACCTTTCCTCCTCTCGCGTGCAACGCATTAGGATTGCAAATTGGTTAAAAACATTCGGGTGCACCTGGTGTTCACAGCACCCTTCCTCCTCTCGCGTGCAACATGTCAGGATTGCAAATCGGTTACAAACATTCGGGTGCGCCCGATGTTCATACCACCCCTTCCTCCTCTCATGTGCAACGCGTTAGGATTACAAATCGACTAAAAACATTCGGATGTGCCCTGTGTTCACACCACCCTTCCTCCTCTCACGTGCAACGTGTTAGGATTGCAAATCGATTAAAAACATTCAAGTGCGCCCGGTGTTCACACCACCCTTCCTCCTCTCGCGTGCAACACGTTAGGATTGCAAATCGGTTAAAAACATTCCGGTGTGCCCTGTGTTCACACCACCCTTCCTCCTTTCGCATGCAATGTGTTAGGATTGTAAATTGGTTAAAAACATTCGGGTGTGCCCGGTGTGCACACCACCCCTTCCTCCTCTTGCGTGCAATGCATTAGGATTGAAAATCGGTTAAACACATTCCGGTGTGCTCGGTGTTCACACCACCCTTTCTCCTCTCGCGTGCAACGCTTTAGGAGATAAAGAGTCAGCTTGTCTAAGACCCTTTTGTGGAGAAAACTCCTCTGTTGGTGAACCATTCACAAGAACAGACAACCTTGCTGTGGAAACACACGCCCTCATCCAAGAAATCCATTTTGACCCAAACCCAAAATTGGCCAACATAGAAAATAGAAATTCCCAGTTAATTGAGTCGTACGCTTTTTCAAAATCAAGTTTAATAAGAATCCCTTTCTTTCTAGCTTTTTTCCATCCATCCACAATTTCATTTGCAATAAAAACTCCATCAAGTATACTTCTCCCACCTAAAAAAGCAGACTGAGAATCCCCAATAACTTCAGGGAGCACTCTCTTAAGCCTATGAGCTAGGACTTTTGAGAGAATCTTGTACATACTCCCCACCAAACTAATGGGTCTGAAATCAGCTAATCCATTAGGAGTATCATTCTTGGGAAAAAGAGTGATGAAAGAACTGTTAATTCCAAAAGAGAGCTTGGAAGTGGTATGAAAATCCCTCATGAAATGCAACACCTCAGATTTCAATAACTTCCAAAATTTCTGAAAAAATAGGAGATTAAAACCATCTGGGCCTGGCGCCTTATTTCCATCACAATCCATGATAGCTGCCCTTACTTCACATGCAGAGAAAGCAGCTTCCAGGTCAGAAAATGCGTCACTAGCTGCAACTGACTTAAAGGTGCCTCCCAGAGTTGGTCTAATTGCCAGCTTTCAGTGAACTGCCTCCTAAAGTGTTGTAAGACTGCAAGTCGTACAGTCACTGGCTCCTTCATAACAACTCTATCAATTGAGATGGAATTGATTGAATTTCTATTCCTTTTGCTACTAGCCATAACATGGAAAAACTTAGTATTCCTGTCCCCATTCAAGATCCAGTTTACTCTAGACTTCTGATGCCAAATCCTTTCCAGCATCCTACTAAGCTTCCATACCTCCCCTGTCACCTCCCTTCTTCTATTCTTTTCAGATTCAGACAAAGTTCTATCTTCTGCAGTAATGTCGATGCCATGCAGCTCTTCCTCTGCCTCCTTTAATTTTGTAGCTACATTCCCAAAAACTTCAGAGTTCCATTTTTTCAGCTCCCCCTTGAGCAATTTTAGTTTATGAAGAAGAATATACCCAGCACTCCCAGTAATCCTTTTTTCAGGCCAGAATTTTTCCATAACAGAGGGGAAACATGGGTGCATAATCCACGCATTAATGAACCTAAAGGGTCTTGGCCCCCAATCCCTCTCATCTTCCATTAACAAGAGTGGGCAGTGATCAGAACAAGTTCTAGGAAGACCCCATAGCTTGAAGTTAAATCTTTGCAACCACTCAGGATTTAACAGGACCCTGTCAATCCTACTCCATTTCTCCCCCTCCTGAGCATTACACCAAGTGTACTTCCTACCAAGCAATGGTATATCATTCAACTCACATTTATCAATAAATGCGTTTAGTTCCTTCATCCCCTTTTCCCTTCCAGAGCAGCCCCCCCTTTCCCCAATAAATCTGATCTCATTGAAATCCCCCCCCAAGCACCATGGATTTGGAAAGTCAGACTTTAATTTTATTAAAGTATCCCAAAGCATACCTCTACCACTCACATCATTAGGGGCATAAACATTTAGTATAACACAATCAAAAGAGTTCATGAGAGTACCTGACAGGAGAACAAATCTTCTATTGGAACAACAGTCCTTCAATTGAAATAAACTTGGATCCCAAATACAGAGTAATCCCCCTGCTAACCCTTCTGAATCTACTGCCATAAACTCCATGTTCCTCCTTCCCCACAAGGTTCTAACTTCACTTTCTGAAATAGAGGCTTTCTTAGTTTCCTGTAATAGAACAAAGTCAACCCTCCTATCACAAATGAGCTTCCTAATCCTTCCCCTCTTCACAGATTTCCCTAATCCTCTGATATTCCATGACATTAAATTCATCAGTAAACATATGATACGCCAAATTCCCCTAGATGAGACACTGAGATCCTTATGCGATCTCCCTCCCCTTTCTTCTTCCTCTGTCAATTTATTCAAGCTCCACCAATTTCTCCAAAACTTCACTATCTTTACCATTGTAGTGAATTCCCAAAACTTTACCCAACTGAAGATTAGCTTGAGCTTCACTAAGAATATGCCTCCCTTTGCTTGAACCACTCTTAGTTGAAGCCGAAAGAGACAAGGCTGCTGCAGCAGCCTTGAAAACTGCGCACTTTGGGATAGACTTGCTAGATGGGTTACCTTTTTGACCATACAGACGAGCTAACCTCTTATACCCAACCTCCTCTGTGTTAGGCATTACTGCACCCGGCCCTCCCACTTTCATCTTTCCTTTCCTTTTTGCCTTCTTTACAGCGTTGGAGCTTCCATTGATAGTAGTTTGGCTTGATTGCACCAAGAGCCCATCTTTCCTGGTACCAGCCCAATGAGATTTAGTTGTGTTGACTATAGATGTGCCCACCCCCTCTTCACTCAGTCCATTTGGAGAAACAGGCCCATGTATATGGCCCAAATTAACTTCCAGGTGGATACCAGGCCTGTGCCCACTTGCCCCACTCACACTCTTAATAAACCCAGGGGTAAAAAGATGCTCATCAACCCTCTGGTTAACATTATCCCCCTGCAGTTCACCATCTGCCATCACCAATAGAGATCTATCCATGTGTGCCTCAAACCCCAATATGTTTCCCACGCCACATTCAGGCTCTACGACCACTGTATTAACTTGGACAGCTTTATAGGTCGGCTCCAGCCCACATTGGGTCTCAACCACTACGGTATCAGAATTTGCCAGCTCATCATCTTCTTCCTCAACCTCCTTAGGCATGTCATCTGCTTCATTTCCAGCACCACACCCAACTATTGGTTCTTGATTAACAGCTCCATTAGAGCTATGGACATCCTCAACCTCACTAAGTATCAAACTTCCATTATCAAATATGCTAACTGGTTGCTCTTCACACACCATAACAGGGTATAACCTGCCTTTGCATTCCAGATTAATGGTTTTATTGATGAAGTCCATACACTGAGTTGTAATTCTGACTCTTCCATAACTGAAGGACTTGGGTTGGCAAATGTCTCCTTCCAATCGAATAACACTTCCCCAAATGTTGCCAATCTTACTGAAAGTGTTTCTATTCCACATGCTTAGAGGAACCCCATGGCATCTGAGCCACAGGCACCTCTCTTGTTCTGCACAAGCTCCTGGTTCCCATTCTTTAACAAACTCACACCAATCCCTACTCCATTCTCTGACCAGTGATAGTTTTGCATCCTTAGCTTCTTTGGATTTAAAGGTGACCACCACGTCTCTGCCTCCTCCACGCCTGACCAATACATCCTCAATTCCTTTCTCCTTAAAAATCTTCTCAATGCCATGTACAGAGTACTCGTCTTTGAATCTCAAGATCACACTCTCGTGCAGCCAACCATGACCGGCTTCATCCACCATGATAGTACTTTCAACTTTCCCCGCAGATCCTCTAGCGTTTGTTTTTAGTATTTCAGCATATGACCTCTGTAAACCATGCTGATAGTGTACTTCTCTTCCACCTGTTTCATTGATGCCTTTGCTCCCTTTAATCCGGTTTCTATTCTGTGCTCCTTCCTTAAATCTATCGTACTCTGCCATTTTGACTTGAATCTCCCTGTCCTCTACCCATAGACCATTAGCTTTAGAAACTGCAACCCTTGTTGCCACTGAGCAGTCGAACCTTTCCCTCTTCTCTGCTTCATGACTGGAATCCACCCTCCTTGCTCCATCCCTCCTCTTTGCTCTGGTGTTAAGTATTTCGAAATGAGTTGTATTGTGTAAATTTAAAGTTGGTGTGATACAGATGGATTGATCTTATCTGTGAGGATCGAGAAATATAGTTAAAGTGGATAGTTATATATATCTTATAACCATTGTATGTAAATTCTCTTAGTTCTTAATTCTACAGTAATTAGTTGCTTTCACTTTTTTTCTTCTTGTTGCACTGCGTGCATACTCGACTCTCTAACACTACTAACGCTTTGTTTATTTTAGTAGAATAAATTTTTATTTAAAAAAAAATCTTTATTTTTTAGTTTTTAGGATATGAAAAATGAAAAATAAATTTATTTAAACGAAAATTATTTTTTAGTTTTAAAAAGTGTAAATTATTTTGGAATTAAAGTTTTAACAATGCCATCCTAGTCACTCTACTAATATGATTTTTTTCAATAATAACCTATACTCAAATATTTAAGAGAAGAATTATTTGAATTTTCAAAACAACACTGATGAGTTCAAAAAAACGTCCAAAAAAAAAAAAAATTATTATTATTAAATTGTGGATAATGACAAATTTATTGTCAATAATCAAACCGCGGTTTAGTCAGTTTTACTTGCTAGTTAATTAAAGAATAATTTTAATCAATTATCAAACGTATGCATATAATATATAACACTATTTTGTATAATATTTTTTATACATATTGTTAGGTTTTTGTTATTGCCAATCCCGTTTGACAAAACTCTTTTCAGTTGTAATTTTATTCATTCTTTTATTTCAGTGAGGCTATGAGTATTTAGATGCGAATCCAACCCAAATTGTGCCTTTTAGAGAAGTTTGTGATGCTAATGCTTTCAAGATTGCCACTTCGCTGATTATGACAGGGATTGAGCTGCCCGGTCAGCTCGCGGGGGTCCAGGCGGCAGTGCCCCTTGGCGTGTCTGGGGCAGCGCCACGGCGGGATTGAGGGGCAGCGCCTCCGAAGCAAAATACAAAATTGCATTCAAAGTTGCATGTTCGCCCTTGCTCGCTCGAGCGAAGGAGTCCTCGCTCGAGTGAAGCCTACGTCTGTGTAAAAACCTGAAAGAGATGAATGTACGCTCGAGTGAAGGGTGTGTGGCTCGATCGAAGCCACTTATGGAAAACATGCGTTTTTGGTTCCTCGCTCGAGCGAGAGAGTCTTCGCTCGAGCGAGCATCGCGATTCAGATTTCTGTAAGTACGGGTTTCTGTCAGATTTTAGGATTACTTCTCCAGATCTTCTTCTTGGTTTCTAAGGTTTATATCTGGGGATATTTTGCTAGTTTTTTTTTTATGTTTTGATTGAGTATTCAACTCATGATTCAAAGAGTATACTTCAAAAGATTATTTGTTTGTTCTACACAAAATAGAGAGTTGTTCTTCGGTGGATTCTGAAGAATTTGAGCCTGAAGCTTTGGTGGATTCTGAAGTGGCTCATCGTCAAGACAATTCCGAGGTGAAGACGGGGTTGGAAGAGGCACATAGAGGTTGGTTCAATTCGGGCATGGATTCGCTAGGTAATTGAGAGTATACCTGTGTAATTCCTTTAAATCTTCTTAGTGTATTGTTTTGTGGCTGTTGCCTGTGGTTTTTTAATCACAGTTGGAGGTGTCCAATTGTGGTTTTTTCCACGTTAAAATCGTTGTGTTGATTTGTCTTGATTGTTTGATTGGGATTGTTATAAACTGCTTAAAATTGATACATAATCACAAATCAACA